AAAAAAAAAAAAAAAAAAAAAAAAAAAAAACAGATAAAAACATTCCCTCTTTCCTAGGCAAAGCAGTATTTCTACAGGGTCGCCATTTGTTTCTGGCATTCTGCCCTCACGCAATGTGTCTCCTTCCTCATACTTTGCTTTGAGGCATCAGAGCCAGGTTTTCTTTGTCACCAGTAAGTAGTCACCCTACAACGTTACCTTTCTTCCCTGAAGTAAAAACTTCTACCTTTAATGCACGTAATATTAATTAGTTGTCAGAAGAAAAGTAATCTGATTAAAGTGATTCAAGTGGTATTAAAAACTGAAAATCCATAAACCTTGCTAGAAGTATTTTTATTTTTTGAAAAAGGCTACCTAGTAAATTGAGATGGTTCTCTTAACTGGTTTTATTGTAGGTATTTCTTTTTCTTTTCTTTTGAAAAAGGGATGCAAACAAATTTGGATATGTAGGAAAATGTTTTTTGGCTGGCCTGTGTGTGTGTGTGCGCACACACGTGCAAGTGCACACATGTGTTTCTAGTATAGGCCAAGGCAATATTGCCACAGAATCTGCCCTTCTAATGGAAGGTCCGTTAAGGAGTGGTATTTTTGTCTGTTACTCTCCATTGATACAATGTTAAGAACAGGTCCTGGAATATAGCATATGCTCAATAAATACTTTTTTCTTCTGCTATTCCCAAATTTCAGATCCTCTGAAAATCCACTTTTTGCAATTAGGACTCCTGAGGCCACAGGGCAAAGGTAACTAGCCACTGTGGTGTGAGAATCAGATGCTTACAAGTCAAGTAATTCTGTAGTAAGACCATGAAGTGTGGCAGCCTATCTAGGGCATATTAATAAACTGAATACTTAGTTTAACTGCAACATGTCAGTGTTCACAGTAATTATTTTCATTCTTTGGATGAATAAAAATAACTATACTAAATATAATGCTCCTCAGTTTCTACAGTTCCTTATCATTCTATCATGAATTTCATTTATCATATGTAGTATATGTTCTTTTTATAAAAGCAGTATAAGAGATTGGGCTAATTTGAGGGAAAAGTCATGGAAAAAAATCACAATATAGAAAAAAAATCCTAGATACTGATACTGTCTTAGGACCTAGAGCACAGATAAAAAGGTGTAACAATCCTGATAAATAATTACTCTCAAACTGTACAAAAGTAGTTTAACAAACTGCTGCTCATCTTATTGATCCAGAAATAGATCCACAGAGAAGTTTTATAAACAAATACAATGTATTTGGTAGAATTAAACATCAGTCTAGTCCTTTCCACTAATTTTTAATGTGTGATGTTTGGGGTCCTATTTTTTGTTGTTGTTATTAATCTGACAGCTGGAAGTGCTTTCACCATCACATTTATTTCAGAAGCTGAACCATAAAGATCAGTAAATCTAGACAAATAGTAGCCAGTAAATCTTTTACATTTGCCAGTCCTCTAAGAGATCAATTCATGAATTGAAAGAGGTTTGCTTTCTAAATCAATGGTGTGCAATTCCTCATAAAGCGAAATCTCTGTGGCTGGCCGAACAATGAAATCTTACGAATATCAGGAACACCACTCGTCATATGTTGGCAAAAAATGTCTGCTATATAGAGAGGGTTGGAGTACAGGCACCTATATACTTCATCTCTATGCCTCTAGTGATGGTGAATATTTTCTTAAGATCTCTAAGTGGTGATATCTGAATACCTTTTGGGAGTCCAAGTGCATAAATAATGCAGAATTATTTCTTCCTGAATTGTTAATTGCCAAATTATAAATAACTCCTCTTGAAAAACTTATTTTTCAAAATATATTTCATATATTTTTAAAATAAAATGTCAGGTTTGTTAAGTGTGCAGAACCATGTGCTAACTCATTAATGTTTATCTTCTTCATTTGGGTTTAAAACATTTTGGATCACTGGGTTCTTTTCCTAAAACCAACACTATACTGTATGTTAAATAACTTAAATTTAAATAAAGAAATTAAAAAAAACCCAAAAAACCATTTTGTAGCATGTTGTATTACTAAAAATTGTCATGTTGTGGTTGCTTCAAAGATCAATAAATATAAACAAGTCAATCTAAAAATCTTTAGAGCACACATGATAACTTACACTCATCACTAAATTTAGTTTAATGATTGTAGTTATCATATGTAAGTTTAAGTGATAACAGGCAAAAATTGTTTAACCTCAATGGAATTCTGTAGAAAAATAATAAAAGACAGGATGGAAATTTAGCACATTCAAACAAATTAGTAAACATGTTAAAAACATTTAACATGTATTTACTCATTAATGCCGTTTATAATTTTTTCATGCCCAAATCATGAATCATCAGGTTATATGTTACCATACTATAACTAAAATAGTACATTGTGCTATGCCATAATATATATCAGGTTTGACAACACTATATACTGTAGAGATCAGGGACTATAATCCTATTTATTATTCTATGAGACTACATACTATCACTATTAACTGTACAAAGGAGAAACATAAAAATGTTTTACCCATTTCTAGGAAAAAGGAAAATTACTTGAAAAACTTATGCAATACATTAACCACTGGTGCAAAAAACAACTTGATAAAATTTTCTTAAAATACAGAATTTTGAGTTTAATTAAATATTAGTTTGAGACAAAAATAAGAGTAGGCACCTGTAGTTTTGTAATGAACCAAAAGCATATTTTTAAACTGCCTGAAATTTTATCAATTGTCATGGTAACTAAGAAAATACTATAAGGAAGACTCGATGCCAGACAGGACAGGTAGGTTGATATCTATATATCTATATATCTATCCTGATAACTAAGTTAAACTAAAAAACTTCAACTTAATTATCAAAGTGTTTTGCATAAAAAACTTAAATAGAAAATGATTTTAACATTCCATAACAGAAAAAGGGGTTTAAGACTAAACCTGTCACGTAAGATACTATGTTCTTACAGATCACAATGTGCTTTATGCCTTATGTGTAGATAACATCTTGTTTTGATAATGACTTTACAACTCCCCAAATCAGGCATTTCTTTCTATATACCTTTTTATTTTTAAAGATCTTATACAGGTTTGAAATTAAATAAAAGTAAATATTCAACCTATAGATATAATAAACATGCATGACAATTAGGATAATTAATACTATAATACTGAATAGACACAACACAAATTACCCCAAAATATCAAATTTTAAATAAAGTGATAAACTTTAATCTTAAAAAATGGAATGGGATGGAAATGACTGAGGTGAACTAATAAAACTTCTTTATTGAAACCTCCCATGTTCATTACGAATGGCCCATCAGTGAATGCACGCATACCCACCCTTGAGTTTGTGAGACAGAGATGAGAGAGCAGAGGCAGGCCCAGCTACAGCATAATTTTTGTAAATGCGCTCACGAGAAGCAAGGTTGTGAGATGGAGATTCTATAGTGGAAAACATTGGCAAAGAAGCAGCACAGATTCAATGGAAAAAAAATTCAGCAGAGAACACAAGCAGAAACAAAGCATTTCAAATGGTATGCACAATCACCTTATTAAAAAGTTCATATTCAGCTAAATTTTTCAACAGGTTTATATTTCTCTAAAATTAAAACTGAAAACAAAGGTCAAACTGGTTTAAATTAGTAAAGATAGCTCAAAATGCATTAAAAGCCAAGTAAGACTCATTGCTCTCATAAATCAAAATTGAACATTTCTTTTAGACTAATATTTCTTTAACTCAGTTTTCTTTTCTTTGGTGCTCATTTACTTATAAATAAAAGTTTATAAGTAAATTTTGTTTTCTTTTGTAAATAGTGGGAGATACAGAAGCATTACTTACAGTTTAGCATAGCTACTGTCACCTGGTTTTCTGTATGGACACACGATTATGATTTTTCCAATATGTATGGAAACATATAGGGTTGACTACTTTTCTGAGTCCATTTTCAGTGGGCAATGTTAGTGCTACTCCCTATATTTAGTGTTTGTTCTGTAAAGCTTATTACTGAGATACCAAATTTTGTTTCATAAAAAGTTTTGCAACACAAACAAAGCAAAGAAAATTTACAAGTCACTGAAAAATGCTAGACACATTAATGATTTTACCATGCAGAAAATGAAGTACTTAAAATTATCTTTTTTTCAAATAATTAACAGAACCCCTAAATTGTAGTCTTTTCAAAGTTGTATGCTAA